CCGGATCATTTGACTCCCCAACCCGTTGGAATGACTGCCAGAGGGCGTAGCTGCACACCGGGTGAATGCCGTCCCCGGCATCCACGTTAGACATGCACGTAATGACGTCGCCACGCTCGAGGTCCTTCGCCACACCGGCCCAGAACTTCACGGACTTGAAATCGCCGGTGTTGGCGGCCTCCGCCAGCCTCTCCTCAAACGGAATGTGCGTCACCGGGCGGCCTGTCAGGTCCCGCAGCGTTTCATGTGGTGTGCACTGGTCAAGCCGGGAGTACCCACCAACAAACTTCGCGTAGGCCTTCTCCAGCAGGAGCGGATACCACGACCGCTTTGGAACCCGTGTAAACTTCGGCTCCATGTTTGCATCCACAGGAACACGGTCGTCAATGTCCACCGGCACAGGCGTACTGTTGGGGTCATAAAAAACACATCTATATGGGCCGCTCGCAGGATGCGCCTTTGTCTCAAACAGGCGGTCAATAAGTACCGGATGTCGACCGAGGGCGGCGATAAAAGGCGCCAGGCAGCTGCTGTTCCCGGGGCCCGAGGCCACGTCGCCCGATGACAGCTTCTCAGGCACCACCGGTTCACGGACACCCTCCGGGTAGAGCTCACAGAGGCGTGGCCACTCCTCCGCCACGTGCTTGTTCGCCTCATGGAATTCCTCGTCTTGCCAGCCCAGCAATTCCTTTGCAAGTTCATGGGCCCGCTTATTAAGTTGCTCCTCGAGATTGCGAACCACCTCCTTGTTCTTTGGGTCCTTTATGAGTCTTCGTCGCTCCCGTTCCATCTCGCGGAACTCCCTGTCTGTGTCAAGTGGAACGCGGTCCAGCAGCACACCTTCCGGCTCTGGGTCAAGATAGACACGCCCCTTGCGCACAAAGTCGTCTGCAATCGCAAAGGCGCGTTCGTTTAATTTGTCCTCAATCTCGCGAATAGCCTCCGCGTTCCTCTTCGGGTCCTTCTTAAGGTTGTGGCGTTGCAGTTCCATCTCGCGAAACTCCTGATCTTCATCCAGCGGGAGTTCAAAGACAGGAACCCCTGCAATTTCAACGGGGAGATAACTTTTGTCATCTGACAGCTGACGACGGGCCAACTCGTGCACGCGATCATTCATGTCATACTCAATATTCTTAATTTCCTCCGCATTCTTGCGCGGGTTCTTCCTGAGTTCTCGCAGCCGCTTCTCCATATCAGAGAAATGTCTGTCCTTGTGAAGCTGCAATTCCGACAACGGGTAGCCCTCTGGTTCCTGATCAAGAAAAGCCCGCTCCATCTTTAGAACTGCCTCTGCCAGCTCCTTGGCCCGCTGATTCATTTCGTCCTCAAGCTTCTCAAGCGCCGCGGTGTTCGCGAAAGGTTTCCGCCTCAGTGCACGATGGCGAGTCTCCATCGCGTGAAAAGTTTGGTCTTCATTGAGTGGTAAATATTCCAGTGGAACACCAAGTGGCTCACGTTCCAGAAACGCACGACCCTTCTCTAAAGAATCCTTCACAAGCTCATGCACACGCCGCTGCATCTTGTCCTCTATGTCCTTAATTGCAGCCTTATTTCGTACCGGCTGCTTTCGAAGGGCGCGTCGCTCATTCTCCATGTCACGGAACCTTCTGTCTGAATCAAGTGGTAATTCGCTCAAGGGTATTCCCCCGGGCTCTGCATCAAGAAACGCACGCTCCGTATCCACAAAGTCCTTCGCAATTTCCTTCACGCGGGCCTGTATATCCTCCTCACACGCGCGAATGGTGTCCGGATCGCGCTTCGGGTGCCGCCTCAGCTCACGGCGCTTGCGCTCCAACGAGTTGAGCGCAGGGTCATGGTTGAGAGGAAGATCGTCAAGGGGGACACCAAGAGGCTCAGGGTCGAGGTACGCCCTTTCTTTTCGGAGAAACTCCCTTGCGACCTCATTTTCCCGTTCCCGCAAGCCCTCTTCGAGAGCCCGCAATCCTTCGGGCGAGGCATCCGGGGCCC